GCTGTCCATGGAGCCTCCTCCTCTGGGAAGCCCTCCTGGAGCGCCCCGTCTGCCCCAACAGCCCATGCGATCAGTGCTGCTAAGGGTGTGCGCACACCTGGCCCTGCCGAGGGCTGTGGGGTCCACCTCTGCAGAGTCAGGAGACCTGGTGTCACTCCCAGCCTGCTGTGTGACTTCGGGGCTGTCCCTTCCCCTCCCTGAACCTCAGTCTCCCCACCTGCACAATGAATTGTGGAGCTCGAAGTGTGGTTTCAAACTTGTGTCCCAGGGGCCCCCAGGGCCGGTGGGTGGGGATGCAGCCCCCTCCCATGACTACAAGGAGAGTGGCCCTGTGTTCATCGGAGCCTGGACTTGGGGTCCTCAAAAGGGGCTCCATGATTGAAAAACCATGGGTTCCAAGGGTACCCTGAGGTCCAGGGTTAAAAACCCCTTTGCTGTCCCATCGTGTGTGGCAGCTGTTTCCTTGAGGGGCCTGGGGTCCCCTCTGTGCAAAGTCAGGGCCTGTCCCCCATCTCAGTGCCTGGGGCCACTGTGGGGATGATTAGGGTCCTTCAAGGCCACGTCGAGTAGGGGAGGGCCCAGGGGCTCGGGCCACTGGGCACAGCCCCCCACCCCACCCCACCGGCCTCTCCTCACCTTGGGCTTCTTGTAGAAGCCGGACAGGTACCACCGCAGCACCAGCTTCATGCGTCTGTAGGCGTCTTCCTCCAGCGCGGCCCTGGACAGACAGACAGGACTCCCTCACTCCAGACCTGGGGCCCTGGGCCACCCTCCTCCATGTCCCTGGGTGCTCCCCAGCCCCCCGTGTGGGCTCCTAGCTGGCAGCCCCTGCAGTCCGCTGGCATTGAGGGCACCAATGCCAGGGCTCAGGACGCGGGCGCACAGAAAGTGCTTGGGGCTGACCCCACTCACCTTTGAAGGCACTGGCCCTGACAGGCCCTGAGTGGAGCTGCCCCGCCCGCCCCCCCCATCAGCTCCTGCTGGGGCTGGTCTTGGGGACTGGACCCCCTTGGAGGCTGAGCTGGCAGGGACAGTAGACCAAGCTCAGCCTGGGTCCCGGGGACCCTCTGGACACCTCGGTGGGGCGGGCAGGCACACTGGGCACACTGGGGGTGGAGGGGTGGGCACTCCCTCTCCCTCACCTGGAGAGCAGGTCCGCATGGTAATAGTAGTCAGACAGTTTGTTGAGGAAGGACCGAGGCTCCAGGACGAACGTGGGCAGCACCACGCGGGACAGGTCCATGCCGGGCCTCAGCTGCTTCAGCAGCACCCACATCAAACTCTTGTTTTCCTCGGACACCGTCTCCACCTGGGACGCCTCACCCAGCTGCTGGCAGAGGGGCGGCGGTCAGGGTCCCCAGCTCTGAGCAGCCCACGGGAGCTGGGAGGGTCGGGCAGGACAGCAGCAGCTGGCTCTGGCTGGAGGAGGTGTGATGGGAGGTGGGGCGGCTGTACCCCTGGCACCCTGGCCATCCGGCGACCCCCCTGACCTGGCCTCCCCTGACCCCTGCCCTTTCCAGCACGTGTCTCCACCCCAGCTGGCCCAGGCCCACGCACACCTGCAGCCTCTGTTCCTTGACTGGGCCCCTGCACCCCCCAGCCTAGCTGACCTGGGCTCCCCCAATTCCAAGTCCAGGGTGGAGCCTCCCCCATCCTGGCTGCTGACACCCAGACGAGGACTTTGCATAACTCTGCGCCTGTGGCAGGAGGTGTCACGTGCCCATTTAATCTTCATACCTGCCGCGTGACTCAGGTGACGTGGGTGACACAGGTGCTTATGGCCTGCACTTCCTTTACAAAGGGGCCCTCACTTGTCCAAGGTCACACGGCTAGAGGTGGGAGCCACCCTGGGCCTTCCTCCTATCTTTCCTGAGATGTCTGANAACGTCCTCCACAACTAGATTGAAGAACGAAAGGACAGCAACTTGTCTGTTCCCCTTCCGCCAATTCCCCAACACTGTTCCCATCCCCCAATTCCCCAATAAAAATCTTTGAAAAAAAAAATAATAATGAAGAAAAAATCTCCCATTCCTGGCCATACGGAGCACTTAATGTAATTTTTTAAAAGGAGCATTCCCACTCGAAAACCTTAAAAATGTTGGATAAAAAAATATGTTTCAAAAAGAGAAAAAAAGGTAATTGAAAATGCAGAAGGCTGGGAAGACCCCACATCCCTCTCTGCACAGGATGGAAAAGCTGTACAGAAGAGACGGGGCTCTGAGCTGCTGGGGGTGGGGGGTGTCTCCCGACCGCGGGGGAGGGAAGCAGCACAGGGCAGGTGGGCAGGGGCCCCGACTCCCTACTGGGGGCTGGGGGCTGGGGAGACCCTGACGTCTTTGGCTAGACCTAATTTTTCGTTTTTACTTTGGAACCAGGTAAATATTTCTTTTACATAATTGCAAAAAATAAAATTAAAAAGGGAATTCCTAGAAATCAAAAGTAAAATGAAACATCCTACTAAATGGAAGAAAATATTTGCCAATGATACATGTGACAAGGGGTTAATATCCAAAATTCATAAAAAACTCATACAACTCAACACCAAAACACCAAACAATCCAATTAAAAAATTGACTAGAAATTTCTCTGAAGAGGACATACAGGTAGCCAATAGACATATGAAAAGATGGTCAATGTCTCCAATATTCAGAGATCGCAAATAAAACCACAATGAGATACAACCTCACACCTGTCAGAATGGCCATCATCAATAAATCAACAAACAAGTGCTGGCGAGGCTGTGGAGAAAAGGGAACCCTGGTGCACTGTTGGTGGGACTGCAGACTGGTGCAGCCACTACGGAAAACAGTATGGAGGTTCCTCAAAAAATTAAAAATGGAACTACCTTATGGCTCAGCTATTGTACTCCTGGGTATTTATCCAAGAAATCCAAAATACTAATTCAAAAAAATATATGCACCCCTGTGTTTATTTCAGCACTATTCACAAAAGCCAAGATAAGGAAGCAAACAAAATGCCCAACAATAGATGATTGGATAAAGAAATGGTGATACATTTATACAATGGAGTATGACTTGGCCGTAAAAAGAGTGAAATCCTACCTTTTGCAACAACATGAATGGATCCAGAGAGTATTATGCTGAGTGAAATGAGTCAGACTGAGAGAGACAAATACCATGTGATCTCACTGATATGTGGAAGCCACCTGGCAAGTGTCTGGGTGGAAAAACAGCTAAAAGGATCAAAGCCTAGAGACGAGGTCAACGTCCAGGTGACAGGGAATCCCAGCACAGGGACACCTTCAGTGACACTGCAGAACACAGCCAGTAAATCCAGTCTGGAGGAAACGCTACAAGAAAATGACTCGTTTCTTCAACAAATACGTGACAGGGAGCAAAGGGGGAGGGGCGCGGTGACGGAGACTTAAGATGCAGAGGAACCAGCACAAAGTCTGAACCTTATTTGGATGCTGCTCAAACACATGGACTGTAACACATACGTGTGCACGTGTGTTCACACACATACATGTGTACGCGACAGTCCAGGAACTTGGAACACTGTACGNCTAAAGCAGGCGGCAGGAGTGGGCGGGCTGGAGGGGGCCAGGCCAGGGCAACGGAGGGGGCAGACGGGAGGCCTCCCAGGGCAGGCGCTAGCCCCACCTCCCGCCCCTGCAGGGGCACCAGAGAGGAAGGGCTGGATTCTCTGGGGACAGTCACAGACAGAGCAGAACAAACTCAGCTCCTAGTTGTCTGGGTGGGGCGTGGAGAATGAGGGGGGGGCCGGGGGCCTGAGGCCATGAGAGCGTCAGCAGGACGGTGGCCCGTGTCGCTTGTGCTGGGTGCTTTACCCACAGGCCGCATGACAGCAGCCTAGACTGAACAATTCCCTCCTTTGAGGTGGGAGTAGGTGCCAATATTACCCCCATTTCACAGACGAGGAAGCTGAGGCCTGAGAGGTCCTGCCGCTGGCCCAGGGTCACCCAGCCCGGAGAGCTGGGGCTGGGACTCAGGCCACCTCTTCCTGGAGCCCCCATGTGTGGGGCCACCGCACCATACGGCCTCTCCAAGGATGACGAGCTGCCCCCCATAGCCTGGACTGGGGAGCCCCCTGCTTGACCTCACAGGGCTTCACCCGGCCCTGGGAGTCATGGGTCCTGGGGCTTTACTGCTCTGCTAGCCCTTTGCTCATTAATCCCACCCAGCACCCAGCGCTGTGGGGGAGGGGCGAGCCAGGCTGTTGCCCTCACTGACCGGACGGCACAGAGAAGGAAAGGGACCTGCCTGAGGTCACGCAGCCAGGCTGCAAAGCCAGGGAGGGCCCAGGCTCAAGCAGCCGCCCCCGCCCCTGCGCCCCCCGCCCCGCAGCTGACCGGGGCGCTGCCCTGGCACTGACCTGGGCTGAGCGGGTACAGCTCATTCTCTCCTCCGAAGAGCAGGTTCCTGGTGAGTCTCCGGGGGTCGGTTTTCTGAGGGGCAGAGGAAGGTGGACACAGTGAGAAGCGGCGCCTCAGAAAAGCTTCCTCCTTCATGGCGTGGGCGCTGGGGGGCTTCTGGAAGGAAGGAAGAGGGGAGAGCACGCGGTCACATGTCAGAACGAGACCAGGGGCAGCCCTGGGGGCCTGGGGGCCGGGTGTCCGCCCACCCACCCACGAGGGGACCTGAGACACTTCAGAAAGCCAGAGCGAAGTGGCAGGGGCCACCCCGTCTTACGCTCAGGTCTCCCTTCAGGGGACATCTCAGACACANCAGTCTGGGAACTCAGGACGGGTTTTACATTTTTAAGTGGCTGAAAATCAGTGTGAGATGTGAAAATCCTATGAAATCTAAATTTCAGCACCCATAAATAAGGTTTTCGTGGCACACAGCCACACCCGCTTGTTTGCCTGTGACCTGTCCAGGGGACGGGCCTCCCTCAGCACCGCGTGCCAGGCGTGCCTTCAGGCGCTGGGATTAGAAGGGAGAGGCAGCCGCCCACAAGTAACAGGAGCCGTGAGAGCCGGGGTGGACAGCCTGTGTGCACAAACTGCCACGGCTCAGGTCGTTATCATCCACGCCCTGCAGGGGAGGCTGTGGCACAGAGAGGCTCGGTAACCTGCCAAGGTCACACAGCTCACGAGGGGCCGAGCGGGGATGGACTCAGGCAGCGTCACTCCGGACTGCACTCTCCGAGCCAAGTGAGAACATTCCAGATCACAGGGCCTGGGACAGGGGAGCCTGGGTGACTTGCTCTGGAAGCAGTCTTTGGAGCAAGCATGGTAAGGAACCAGGCCTGTGTGACGACGTGTTTGCCAGACCTGGGCCAGGGGGCAGGGCTGACAGTGCGTGCCCCCAGATGCCTCCTGAGGAGCGGGGTTCGTATGCATGGTGCTCCCCGCCCCCCGCTCACTTGGCACATGCCGTTCCCTCGGCCTGGGATGTCCTTCCCTGTTTCGGGAAGCCCCTTCCCCAGGCCCCAGAAGGAAGCTGGCTCTGACTGCCCAGCGGCGTGAGGCCCTGATGGCACACACCCATTCTTGGTCCACCCAACACCTTTCGAAACCACAGTCCCAGAGATGTTTGTTTATTGTCCAGAGGCTGTGGGCCTGGGCGAGGGTGGGCGGGAGGCAGTGCCTGCACTTGGGGTGTGGGCACTGCAGCCGCTGCCCGGCACTGTGGACAGTGCCCGCTGTCTCCTCTGTCCTTAGGGCCATGCTGGGGACTGTGCACAGGCCCCCAAGGGCCCTCCTGCCTGTTCCTGGATGCTCTGCACACCGAGGCACGTGCAAGAAGCAGGTGCCCTTAGAAGTGAGAAACGCTGCTCGGAACTGGGAACCTGAGGCCAGAAATGTGCCGCCCATAAGAGTTATGTTAACTAAGTAATTTCGAACGACCTACAAAACGGGAGAAAGTACGTGCACTCATACACCTGATCAGGGTCTGGTGTCCAGAACATATAAAGAACTCTGACGACTCAACAATAAANCAGCTCTCCACTTGAAGGCCCGCACGCCCCGCCCCGTCCTTCCTCACCAAGGAGTCCGCGCCTCCTCCCCGCACCGGGGCGCCCACGAGGGACGCCCCTCCCCTGTCCCAGGGAGACACCCCACCCCACCCCACCCCGGGAGCCCTCCGCTCTCGCCACCCTACATGGGAAACCACCCTTTGCCTCCGCCAGTCCTCACCAAAGAGTGCCCCTTGCTTCCCCACCAGGAAGCTCCCCGCTTGCCCTGACCCTTCAAGGGTCCCCGACTTCCAAGCCCCAGAACCAGCCACCACTTACACATGCCCATCCCCCCCAGGGACGCTGACCTTGTCCCATCCCCTGTCCCAACAGAGATCCCCCTTGTCTGACGGTTCACTACCCGTCTCCCCAAAGACTGCAGGC